CCACTCTTTAAATTTTTAATTTCATAATAAATTGTCTTTTCTATTAATAAATCATCAAGTTAATTAATAATTTTTAATAATATAATAAATATGTACAATTAATAATTTAAATAATTTTATTATTGTATAAAAAAATAATTATGAATTTTTTTTTTAGTTAATTCTGTTAAATAAAAATTTTAACAAGAGGATATTTCTAATTATTCAAACTACAAGGATTAATTTGTATTTTAAGTAAACCTAAGGATATATTTGTAATTTATCTTTTTTTAAAAATTTTCTTTTTCTTAATTTTTTTTTTGTTAATTTATTTATTCATTTTTCCACCGCCGACTTTGTGGCATTTTTTAAGTTTGAAGCCAAAATAAGAAATAAATAAATAAAACTTTCCCCCCTTACTTATTACTGTACCTTTAAAAAACAAATTTAATTTTTATTTTTATTTTTATTTTAGAAAGGCCTTAAACTATTAATTTGAATAATCACTTTTTTAAACTATTAACATTAGTTTATTTTAATTTAAACTGTTAATAGATTTAAGGGGTAATTACAAAGAGTTTGATTTTTGTAACAAAATAAAATTTTAATTTTATCAATTTAAATCTAATCTTTTGATTTGTCTTTAATTTAAATCATTTACTTATTTTTATTAAGTAAAATTGATAGAAAAATATTATTTTATCTATTAAATTCAATGTACACGTACTTAAAATGATTAAAATATCATTTTTTCTGTCAATTTTACCTAACGAAAATAGAAAGATGGTTTAAATTGAAAACAAATCAAATGATTAAGATTTATATTGATCAAATTAAAAATTCAAGATTATTTTATTATAAGAATCAAACTCTAATTATTATTTTTTTATATAATTACCCCTGACTTTAATATTTATGATAGAGCCTCCGTTTGGAAAGTGGGTTGGCTTTTTAGCTTTTTGACTTTTTTTTGACTATTTTAGCATGGGTTAAAAAGTTTGGTTTGGGAAGGACTTCTTGACTTTTTGACTTTTTTGACTTTTTTTGTGAGAGAAGAATGTAATGATTATGGGTTGAATGTGATATTTTGTTTTTTGTGACTAAAATAACATATTTTGTCTTTTATGACTAAAATAACCAAAAAAAACCCCGTTTTATTCTTGCCAGACGGAGCCAGAATATCATACTTACCAAGAGAAAAATATTGTCACAAGTTATTTGGTTAATTTACTAGTATCCAAAGGTAGTAGTTTGCTATGATTTTCTGAATGACATAAAAATATTTATCTTTTTTTTTATTGGACAAAATAAATGAATGTCCTCAATTAGTCACATCTGTGTCGGTAGGTCTGATATTTCGTTAAAAATTTTAACCTTATTAAGGCCAAGTTTGGCATGAGATAAAAAAGACAAAAAGTCAAAAAGTCACTATCCTATTTAAGTCACATCATCTTATTTAAGTCACATCACCTCTCTAATACTATATATATATATATATATATATCAATATATAATACATATGTCCCTCTGTATCCTGTTATAGTAGTGGCATCCAGGATAATACAGAGATGCAATGGGAAGCTGTGTAAACCATAATTGTTTCACTTGTGTTGAAAGGAAAATGATTATTAATAAAATAAAAAATAAGACACAGCCATACTCCTTATTTTATTTCTATTTTTTAAGTTTTGCTTTAAAAATGCATTCTGTATTTTAGGAGTTACTTTTCAACTATTTTGTCCAATAATTCTTTAATATTTTTTTTAAAGAAAAGAAGAGTTGATATAACAAATGAAGTAGGGACAAGAGAGAGGACAAAATAATCACCTTTTATATTTTTAGGGGACTAATAATGACTTACACAAGGTAGGACTCCACGTATTAACAACCCCTTAAATTGGAAATGAGTTTTATAAATGTCATTACCTAAAGTAACTAATTGGAGGTGGGGGAGTAGAGAGGGATTGGAGATACAATAATGATTTAGACCACTAAAAAATACATTACGAATAGCACTAATGCATTGGAAATGATAAAAAAAAAGAAACAAGGCAAAGAAAGTGGGCGGGGCCCACTGTTACATCATTAGTGCTCCTTCTACTGCTCTATTTCTAGTGCTCTCAAGCATTTTTCTTGGAGATATCTGTAGGTTGTCATAATCTAATGCATCCTTATCAGCTTATCTAAATTTTATCTTAAAATATTATTATAAAATTTATTTCTTATTTTAAGAATCACTTTTTTATTTATTTTCTCCAATAAGTTTTCTATTTTTTTTTATTTTATTAAAATAATCTTTTTAACTATTTTTAAATTTGAATATTTTTTTAATAATAAAATAATTAAAGTAAAAAACGGAGGCTAAAAACAAAAGAAAGCAGCAGAAGCAATATAAATTAAACAATATGAATTAAAGTCCAAAATAGAAGAAAGCAGTAGAAGCAAAAGTCAGGCGGCACCGGACGTTCGGGAGGTCGACCGACAGGACGTCCGAGTGGACGATAAGTGAAGTAAGTTTTGCCTCATTTGAGACATCGGAATGGACGACCCATGTTAGATATAAGAGAGCTACAGTGACTCTCTTACAAATAGAGAGTGACGGTAACAATCCTAAATTTAAAAGATTGAATAAGGGATCTAGTGGAGAAAGATTTTGGACGAATTAACCCCTCATAATAACAAAAATATATTGTAAGGAACCGATAGAGATGCTCTAAGAACTAGCCAAATTTAAAATTTTATTTATTATAATTGAGCCTCCTGACTATTTATTTAATGTTGATTAAATCCATTTCTTATTTAAATTCTTACACAAATTAATTTGGCTGGACATGACTTTTTTGTTTCGATTTGAGATTGGAGAAATGAACAGAAAGAATCCAGTAGATAACTGGGTTTTTGATATTTTAATATTATTCTTAATTAAGATTATTTAATTGCAAGTTATGACCTCTAAAATTGTAAAATTACACAAAAAGACTTAAGATATTTTTGAAGATTTAAATTTAGGAACTTGGAGGGAATTTTACAAAATTCAAATGCCCACTCACTAACGTTTGACATATTATGCTTCTAGTTTTTTTTGTTTTTTGTTTTTTTCTTTTAATGTAAATTTATGTTATATTTATCTTCTATCTATCTATACTATTATATATGTGAGCACATGACTTGGTGTCTAATAGTGTGGTAGCTTCTCCTTCTGCCACGTGGCAAATTTTTCTATCCTAAAATAAAAAAATGTTATTCAAAGGCATGAGTAAGATTTGAACCCAAGACCTTGGGTTTCATTAAGAACACTCTTACCATTTAGACAATATACATATTATGGCATTAATTTCTTTATTATTTGTTTTTATGCTTATTTATCTGAATTGCACATGCATCGCATGTGCCACACCACTAGTACTATTATAAAGTGAACACATAATATGGTGTCCTAAAGCTTCCTTCACTCTCCTCATGCCATGTGGCAGTGTTTTTTATTTTTTTATAAAAAGTTAAACAAAGAGATGGACAAGGCTTGAACCCATGACCATGGGTTTAAGTATGAGGACTCATACCACTTAAGCTAAGTACACATTATAATATTAATTTCATTATTATTTTCTTTTATTCCTATTTATTTAATTTGCACACACATCGTGTGTGCCCAACCGCTAGTTTATATATATATATATATATATAAACTCAGTCTTCAAACTGTGAATTAAATTATTGATGATTTGCAGGACACGACAAACAATGGCAGTGCTTTGTGCAGCAGAAGCAAAGCTCTCTTTCAGTGTCCTTGCTTGCCTTCCTCTCTCTTTCCCCCCATCAGCTTAATAAACAACAAAAGCAAGAAAAAGAGAGTGAATCATAAAAGAAGAAGAAAAAGGAGAGACTACTACATATTTCACAAAGCCAAAGGAGAGACAAAATATATAGGAGATAGGAGAACGAGAAACTTCATGGCGTAGTGGTGGTAATCGAATTTGAACATCACATTCAATCACATCTGATAAGGGTTTGTCTTGTCTGTTAAGAAGTTTTAAGTCCACATTTTTGTAAAGAAAAAAGGTGCTCTCTAATCTATAGTTTTAGATTAAAGTGCTATTTGGGCATATAAGAACTATTATGAGTTCTTCTAAAGGGAAATATGAGTCATTTATTTGGTAAATGTTTGTATATAAATAGTCTATAAAAATGTTCAGATTCATCTAATGATCTAGCTACATGATTTTATAATAAAATTTATTTTTTAAAATAAATATAATAAAAATCATGCTATAATTTCATATAAATATAATTTTTTTATTGATAATCTACACATAGATCTTATAAGATTAACAATTAAAATCATGAAAATAATATTCATGGTAGACAAGACAAACTCAAATAACACCTAGATGAACTAAAAAGATGTTTAAGGTCCTTAAAACTTCTTTTCTAAATTCATCCACTTTAAAACTTTTGTATGTTAACTGTTGATTTACAAACAAATTACATGTCAATGGACAATGAAAAAAAAATTACGCTACACAATATCTTTTTGGTGCAAGACCAAGAAAATACTTGCACCATAAAAAATTAAAAAAAGAATTTAATCAAATGTGTCATAGATTTGAAATTTTTTCTAAATAGGAATAAGAGAGAGTGAGCCTCCATTTGGGAAGTGGGTTGGTTTTTTGGCTTTTTTGGCTATTTTAGACTGGGCTTAAAAGTTTGGTTTGGGAAGGACTTTTTGACTTTTTGACTTTTTTAAGTTTTTTTTGTGAGAGAATAATGTAATGATTATGAGTTGGATGTGATGTTTTGTTTGTTATGACTAAAATAACCTATTTTATTTTTTATAACTAAAATAACCAAAAAAACCTGTAAACCCACTTACCAAACACAGGCCGAGAATTCTGATCCTTTTTTTGGATTAAATTCTCACCCTTTTTATGTAATAGTAATTACACATCACATAAATAAAAAAAATTTCATGTATGTGTGCATGTGGGTTTAGTACTTAAAAAAGGTCAAACAGACATTGCCTTTATTTTTTTTATCTTTCTTGCTTCCTCTCCACTTTCCTCCTATTTTTCTCTCTCACTTTCTCTTTCTTTTTTCCCTCTTTACTACTTTTTGTGCTCATACCCATCTCCTTCTCGTACTCTCTTTTTTCTTTCTTGTTTGAGTGAATTTCAAGAAGCAAATACTACCACATATTATTTTCTTTCAACCTGCCAACTGGGTTCATTTCATGGGTCTTCAAATTCTCTGAGATTATTCATTTTCTAGTCTCTCTTTTCTTCCACACTTTCTCAATTCCATTCTCAAACTCTCTCTGAAATGGAAAAAGAAAAGCTCTTTCTCAGTGAGGAAAACACAATGTTACCCACTTGGAATTCTTCTTCAAGTTTTGGAATGGAAATCCAATCCAATCATCTGAATTGCAGCTCAGAGCAACTTCCCAATTGCTTTTTCAACCCCAATTGGGACAACAATTCAATGGATCAAACCGACCCATTTGAGTCCGCCCTCAGCTCCATGGTTTCCTCTCCGGCCGCCGCCGCAAGCGGCGGCGACGGTGTTGTGCTCAGAGAACTCATCGGCAGACTCGGAAGCATTTGCAACTCCGGCGGCGGCGGCGGCGGCGAAATGTCGCCGCCACCTTACATTGGTGCCAACAACAACAATAGTACTAACAATTCAAGTTATAGTACTCCTTTGAATTCACCACCAAAGCTCAACCTCTCAATCATGGATCATCAGATCAGAGGGAATTTGCAGATTCCTGGAAACAATTTACAAAGTTCGACACCATTTTCTACCGATCCCGGATTCGCGGAGAGGGCTGCAAAGTTTTCATCTTTTGGGAGTAAAAATTTTGGGCAATTTGGGCAGATTGAATCTGAAATGGGTCATAGATTGGTACCCAGAATGGAATTGGGCAAAATCTCTGTGACTTCGAGTACCCACCAGTCGATGAAATTTGCTGGATCTTCAATGGGTTTGCAAGAAAACAAAGATGGGTTGTTGCAGGAAGGGAATTGGGGTTCTGATAAGAAATTCACTAGGTTATCGAGGTCTTCGACGCCTGAAAATGGAGAATTTGGGGATTCAAGAGAGGAATCTTCGGTTTCTGAGCAGATCCCAGGTGGGGAAATTGGGATTAAAGGTCAGAATGATGCTAATGCTAGGAAAAGAAAATCAATTCCAAAGGGAAAAGGAAAGGAAACCCCATCTTCATCTTCACCAGTTAAAGATTCCAAAGTAAAAACACTACTTCCTAATTCTCCTTTTTTTTTCTTTTTCTTTTTCTTTTTTGGGTAAAGATTGTTGAAGAAAGTGTGTGAATTACAGGTTGTATCAGGGAATGATGAATCAAATTCCAAGAGAAGCAAAGCAGATGAGAATGTGAAAGTTGCAGAGCAAAGTAAAGATAGTGCTAAGCCTCCAGAGCCTCCCAAGGACTATATCCATGTCAGGGCTCGAAGAGGACAAGCTACTGATAGCCATAGCCTTGCTGAAAGAGTATAAAAAAATAGCAAATTTATTGTTGTTATCATTGCCATATCTATAAGTTTAGAATCCAATTGACATATCAACTTTTGGCAACCAGGTCAGGAGAGAGAAAATCAGTGAGAGAATGAAGTTCTTGCAAGATCTTGTGCCTGGCTGCAATAAGGTGATTTTTACTGTTTTTGAAAACAATCCTTTGTACTTGAATTCTATGGGAAAATTGTGTAGAACCTTAAATTGAGCGTGAATTTTCGTACCAGGTGACCGGGAAAGCTGTCATGCTTGATGAAATTATAAATTACGTGCAGTCCTTGCAGCGACAAGTCGAGGTAAATTCAAATTATGCTAAATTCATAACTCACAATAGTAATTATAGACTTTTGAGTAATACTGCTAAATTTGTGTTTTGTTGATCTGTTATGTTATATAGTTCTTGTCAATGAAATTGGCAACTGTCAATCCTAGAATGGAATTTAACATTGAAGCTCTTTTATCAAAGGATGTAAGTCTGTAACATTTTGTAAATTGTATTCTTTCATGTTTTGAAAGTTCAACTTGAATTTTGTTATTATGTCTTCTAAATGTTATGCAAATTCTAGATCTTTCAAACTCGCGGATCTATGCCAAACAATATTTACCCGGTAGAGTCCACGACACCGCCATTCCCTTATGGATACCAACACAGTGGTATTCCTAATGGAACAGAGAACCCCTTCTCACTCAACCCTTTGAATGCTGCTCTGCGGCGAAACTTAGGCTCGCAATTGCCTTCCATTGATGGATTTGGTGAGGCTGCCTCTCAGGTAATTGGGGATTTCATTTTCTAAATTAGTGTCCCAAAAGTGTTTCATTAATCTTTCACAAAATGGCTTAATATATGCTTGTAAATACATTTCCAGGCTTCGACATTTTGGGAGGACGATCTGCAAAGTGTTGTTCAGATGGGTTTTGGCCAGAATCAACCTCAGAATTTTCATGGTAAAAAAAGTTTTAAAAAATAAATTAAAATCACTTGCTAAATTAGAGTCTAGTTTGGAGCATTTAAATTGTAATTTATTTATTCTGTGTAGGCTCGCTGCTCCGCCAGCACGACAACTGTCCAAATTTGGATGAAGGCACAGCACAGATGAAAGTTGAGCTATGATCATCTTTTAATCAACATTCATTTGGGGCCACAAGTGAGAGGCTTCTTATGTATATACAGAGACTTGGATTATGACAAAGAGAACATCTTCTCTTTTATTTTTATTGTTTTTCTTCTGTATTTTAGCAAATCCTTTTATGCAGCTGATTCTTTTGGAGAATTCTTATGGGAAATTCATTGTAAACTTATTAGGATTAATTGTAAGAAGTGGTGTAAACACTTTATTATATATTAAAAGGGTGTTTGAGATGATATTTTTTTGACTTTATATAAAAAGATGTGCAATAAAATAAAAAGATAACATGAGTTAAAAAATATAAAAAAAAATTTAAAAAAATACAACTTTATAACATGGTAAGAAGTGTGTCATTACGCATCCAAAAAAATAAAAAATAAAAAAATACAACTTTATACCATGGTAAGAAGTGTGTCATTACCCACCCAAAAAAAACAAAAGTGCCATAGGGGTTTTGATGAGAGAGAATGTGTTCATGTAAGTTTTTTTGTTCCAACCTTTTAATGTTTTTTTCATATTTCATTGCTCTATTTCATTACCACTGAGAAATTTTATCATTAATTCATTGAGACATCTTATGAATTATGATTGAATGAATTTTCTGTTAACAGATAAAATGAGTAGGGATCATCTGTCCCCTTTTTCCCTTTTTATGTCTCGAATATGCTTTTTCCCACACAATAAGGTTAAATAGAAGAAATTTAGGTCCGTTTGTTTTGGGGTGTAGAGTGTGGGATGAGATTAGAATGGAGGTGAGACTCATTTAGTATTGTGTTTATTTGTAGAGTTGGAGAAGGAATTGAAATAGAGCAGGGGATTAGTATGGAGGTTGGAAGAGGGATTAGGATGGAAGAGGTGGAGGTGGAGGTGGTATTAGAAAAATAGTCTGCCGAACTAGAAGTTTTTTATTTTTTAAATTTTTTTACATGTTTGGCATTTTTTTTTAACATTACTGTTTAATTTTTTGTATTTTTTTATTTGTTTTATTATTTTATATAAAAATAATTTAACAATTCTTATGCTAACAACTATCATTAAAACAAACATAATTTTACTTAATCTCCTCACTAACAATTTTCTCACTAACAATCTCCTCACTATAAATTTCCTCTATTTTACCTCTGAAAACAAACGAACCCTTAAGGACGAGAAAGAAAGAGATATGTTATCATCAACTACATAAAATGGCTCGATTTGATATTTTTAATATTTTTTTAATACAGGGGAATATGAATTACAGAAGTTATTTCTAACAGTAAAAATTAGACTAGTATATCTCATCTATTAAGCCAATTAAACATTCTGATTTGATTATAATAGTCACAACTCAAGTTTGTTTTTAATGATTTTTTAACTTGTTTATGAATTGAAAAAAAAAATTATGAATAGTTAGACATTGAAAGTGTGCAACCCCCTTAAGGTTACACACCATATACAAAGTGTAAATGGTGTAAATGTAAAAAAACCCAATACATAGAAGGTATAAATGCAAGGTCGTAAATGCCTTGCATACCATATGCAAAGCACACTTAAAAAAAAGTCCAATTAATCATTATGTATGATATATTTCTTACCTCCGTCGATCACTTTATTCTTAGAAAAAATTCAAGCCATGTACTAGCCTTTACAAAATTGAGAGTATATTAATCATTTTACATTGATGGTATCAACTTCTGTCAATCAACACGACCCTTTACTTTTAAGGTTGAATTTTAAATTTTTTAACCAAAAAATTAATTTCTAAATGAAGCCTCAAGCATCATGCATGATAAAGGATCACGTCATCAACTAAGTTAATTCTCTTTGTCTTAAACAATTTACAAACCATATTTAGGCATAGTTGGCAAGTTACTTTTTTAGTTTTTTTAGTTAAAATTACCAACAATCATTTTACATTGATGGTATCAACTTCTGTCAATCAACACGACCTTTTACTTTTAAGGTTGAATTTTAAATTTTTTAACCAAAAAATTAATTTCTAAATGAAGCCTCAAGCATCATGCATGATAAAGGATCACGTCATCAACTAAGTTAATTCTCTTTGTCTTAAACAACTTACAAACCATATTTAGGCATAGTTGGCAAGTTACTTTTTTTAGTTTTTTTAGTTAAAATTACCAACAAAGATAAAATATGTTAAAATAATTAATGAAACAAAATGTCACATTAAATTCATAATTTTTTTTTTCTTCACAATTATCAAATCAACTAAAAAAAAATTTAATTACCGTTTCAAACATAACCATTTTAATCAAATTAAAATAATCAAATAATTAACTTTTCAAACAAAGCAAAATGTCAAAAACAGTTGGGAGATAACTAAACAAATTCTCTTATCTTTTTCTTAACCTTCTCACTTCTCAGCAACCAAACTCAAAAAGTTGTATGGTAGTGATTTGTGTGTTTTTTATTAGTATAATGTTTTTGAAAGAGAAGTCACATTCTGCCTGTGTTTGGCAAGGGCTTTTTCAGGTTTTTTTGGCTATTTTAGCCACAAAAAATAAAATAGGCTATTTTAGCCATAACAAACAAAACATCACATCCAACCTATAATCATTACATTCTTCTCTCACAAAAAAAGTCAAAAAAGCCAAAAAGCCAAAAAGCCCTTCCCAAACCAAGCTTTTTAGCTCAGGCTAAAATAGCCAAAAAAACCAAAAAGCCAAAAGCCAACCCACTTCCCAAACGGAGTCTGAGTAAGAAAAAATTCCGCAAACAAGGAATTGACAATGGAACAAAATAAGACATTCAAACGCGTGACTTATGGAAAATTTACTGTTTACTGATTGATTCATTTCATTTTACTTAAGAATATGAATGATATATACTATACTATGAGCTGGAATCCAAAGTTATTTTCATAAAACCCCCCCCAAGCAAGGAAGGGTCCCACAAAACGATCATTAAATATCATTAGACAAGAACTTAACTTTTGTCTAGGTAGACAAACTTATCAGTTTTGAGTAGTAAATTTACTGTGAATCCCACTTTAATTATTTATATAAAAAAAAAAATTAAAGTGATTCAATAACTGTAATTTAAACACTTATTTTAATTATATTTATTTTTTAAAAAAATAAATGATATATATGAAAAATTATAATTATTGTTCATTTTACAAAGAAACATATGATAAAATTTTTTGATCAATCTTTTTTTTTTTTTTTCTAGATGATCTACACATTGATACTTGATACCTATTTATTAGATCAGATTATCAAAATGAGTTCACAGACCAAAAGTGAACAAATCGAATCCACTTCGTAAACTGAAGACAAATGAAATCTTGAAAATAATTAGAACGTCACTTCATTTTTCATATATTTCAAATATATTGACATAATTTTATGAATTTTTCCCACATTTTTATGAGTCCAGATCATCTGCCATCATTTCCTGCAGCCTTCTCTATGGCCCTCGCCAAAACAACGTCGTTTTGGCAAAAATGAGCTCGTTTTGTTTAATGTGTTTTTTTAGCAATCACCATTCTCCAGATGACTCATCAACCCCCACAACAAAGTTTTAGAAGGTGTAAAGGAAAAAGCAAATCAATTGGGTCTATCTAGACGGCAACAACAACAACAAGCCATATATGCAAACAATACAAGAAAATGTGTACATTTCGTTGCTGTGACTTCCAACAATGGTAGTAAGATGAACAACAACGGTGAAAGTCCCAACCAGGATATGGGATTTGGGTCCTTGGTGCTAAATTAGAACATGATATTGAAATTTGAACTTTTTATTGAGATTGAAAAAGAGAGATTAGAACTTGAGTCCAGATCATCTGTCGTCATTTCCCGTGGCCCTCCCTGCTTTCGTTTTGTTTAATTTTTTTAATTTATTTTTACCAAACCCATTCTCCGCACGACTCTTCAACCCCCACAACAAAGTTCCAGGAGGTGTAAAGGAAAAATCAAATCAACTGGGTCTGTCTAGGCAACAACAACAACAAGCCATATATGCAAACAATACAAGAAAATGTGTACGTTCCATTGCTGCAACTTCCAACAATGGTAGTAAGATGTGTTGGGGTATATCTCCTTATTGGAGTTTGAGACCCAATTGGTTTGTTAAAAGAATTTTAATTTGGTTTGGTTTGAGTATAATATATTTTAATATATTATATCTAACTTTTAGAGGCCTAATTCAATTTGGTAACAATTAAGGTTTTGATAACATAACCCAAGAATCAATAATATATATATATATATATATATTGTTTTTGGTCCCATGACATAGTGTTGCTTTAACAATTTTGGTGGTATTTGTTTTGGGTGGAAGCTACAGATTTGATATGGTGCTTGCTGGGTTAATCAATTGGTGAATTCAAAGCTTGGTGAAATAAATTATGTGGGTTTATTTCGGCAGCGTGTGGATTGATTTGGTTCATTATTTTTGGGTCTTCTTCAACTCTACTTTTGAAGACTTTTGTTCATCTATTTGGTGAGATCTTTCCTCTTGTTTATTTGTGATTATTTGGAATTCACTTAAGGGTGATTTTTGTGAAACCATTCGTGTCTCGTTTGTAATCGTTTGGAAACTTTTTGGTTGATAGTGGAATCGGATTTCGATCCGGTGGACGTACCTTATATTGAGGGAACCACGCAAAATTCTTGTGTTGCTTTTGATTTAATTTTTCTGCATTAGTTTTTATTCCCATTGATTGATTTACTTATGGGGAATCATATATTTTCTCTAACAACTAGTATCAGAGCTTACGGTTTATTTGGGTTTATTTATTTGTGTAAATCAATGGAGGGGAATGTGAGTCGTGTGTCTAGCTTCAATGGAAGCAATTGGGTAATTTGAAAAACTAAAATGGAGGACCTATTATGTTGTAAAGATTTGTATGGACCCATTGAGGATGATTGTGGCAAACCCGATGGTATGCAAGATAATGAATAGAAGAGGCTTAATCGAAAAGCCGTTGGCGTTATCTGTCAATGGATTGATAACAATATGTTTCATCATGTTGCTAATGAAACTTCGGCACATGATTTATGAAAAAAATTAAAAGGCCTTTATGATAGAAAATCAGCCACAAATAAAGCTTTTCTATTTCGTAAGTTGCTTAATTTAAAATATAAAGGGGGTAGCCCTATTTCGGAACATTTGAATGAAATAAAGAGTATTTTTTACCAACTTGCTTCTATAAAAATTATTTTTGATGATAAGTTGCAGGCTTTGTTGCTACTTAGTTCTTTGCCTGAAAGTTGGGAGACTTTAGTTGTGGCG